GAATCACAACTTCGCATTGATCTGTGCCATGGAGTTCACAGGTTCATAGAATCATAAAGTTAGAGTTGGAAGATCACTTACACACCATTGGTTCTGACTACTTCATTTTGTAGATGAGAGAACTAAGCCTTATGGATGTTAAGTGACTTGCCTAGGGTCACACAGCTAGTAAGAGTCTGAGGCAGAATTTGAATTCAGGTCTTTTGGACTCTATCCACTGCACCCCCTAAGTACCATCAAAAAACCATCATGAGTGCGATTGAGCCACCATCTTTCAATTAACAGCTGATTGCCCCACAAAGACATTTTTGCTAGAGTTCCAAACTAAGTTTTAGAAGATGGAAAAGGTGTGGAAACTTACAACCAATGCATCTCTTGACTGAGAGATGAATGAGTGAAAGCCCACTTCTTAGTTATAGTCACAGACTTAGAGATCATATGATTTTTAAAAAATTGTATTGATACCTTTTGTTTGTACATCACCTTCATTTCCCAGTGTATCCCCTACCCTCTCCTTCCAGGGAGCCATCCTTTATGATTTGCAGAGACAAGCACTTAGCATAGGATTTGTGCTTCTCTGCTCCCCTCTTCAAAAATTCTGAAAGCTGCTGCTAATGCAGTGGCAGCTGCCCTGGGGAGCAATGGAATGGAGTGGGGAGGGAATAAAGAATTTTTTAAAAGGAAAAAAAAAGTTCAACAAAATTGACCAACATATTGAAGAAGTCTAACATTGTTCCATACCCATAGCAGCCCACCTCCATAAAGAAGGGGTAGGGGAGGTTCTTTCTTACATCTTTTCTTTGGCCAAAACTTACTTATTACAATCTTGCAAGATTCATTTTCAGTTGTACTGTTGCTGTTCTTTTCATTTACATTGCTATATGGTTGTTGTGTATATTGTTTTCTTGATTCTACTTATATCACTTTGGATCAATTCATTTAAGTCTTCCCATGTTTCTCAGTCTTCATTGTAATTATAATTTCTTACATCCCAGCAATATTCCATTACATGCATGTAGCACAATTTCTTTATCCATTCTGCAATTTATGGACATCTGCTGAATGGAGCTGGAGGAGATGATGAATTCCTGTTGACTGGATTCACTGTGAATTTATGTCACAAAATTTCAACTGGGACCTCACTTTGTTGTTCAGTCATTCCCAACTCTTCATGGCCCCATCTGAGGTTTTCTTGGCAGAGATACTGGAGTGGTTTGCCATTTCCTTCTCCAGCTCATTTTACAGATGATGAAACTGAGGTAAACAGGGTTAAGTGACTCATCCAGGGTCACACAGCTAGTAAGTATCTGAAGCCAGATTTGAACTCAGGAAGATGAGCCTTCCTGATTCTAAATCCAGCGTTCCATCCACTGTACCACCTAGTTGCCCCGGCACCTCATTGAAGCAAGGCAATTCTTTTGTGCCTTCCTAATCAGTTCACCATCCCACTCACCATAGCACCTCATCCAGACATTCTCATCTCTCCTCAAGTCCCCCATAGTACCCTCTCCCTCCCCCTCTCATCTGACAGCTTTGCTGCATACTTGACCAAAACAAAACACCAAAACCAAATCAATGCCATTCATGGAGAAATACTTATTCTCCCTTCCATTAGTCAGACATCTCCCACCCTTCCATCTCCTTCACACCTGTCTGAGCACTGGGCAAGCTCTTCTATCTGCACCTTTGATCCTATCCCCTTTCAATTCTCTAGCAGGCCATCTACTACATTATCCCCCTACTTTCTATAGTTTTTCAGTCTCTGCTGTTGCTTCCCTGCTCCCTACAGACTTGTCTATGTTTCCCTCAACCTAAAAGAAACTGTCACTTGATCCAACTATCTCTGCCAGCTACTGTCCTATAGCTTTCCTTCCGAAGGTAGCTAGGTGGTGCAATTACTACAGAGCTAGGCCTGGAGTCAGGAAAACCTGAGTTCAAATCAGACACTTACTAGTTGTCTGCCTTAGTTTCCTCAATTGTAAAATGAGGATAATAACAGCACCTGCCTCCTAGGGTTGTTATCAGGATTGAGAGATGGCATTTGTAAAGCACTTAGCACAGTGCCTGGGGGCACACAGTAGGCACTTCCTTCTCTTCTCAACTAATCTCTATGAGGTAAACCACCCACATTAGGGGCTTATATTTCTCTTCTTCTTCTCCTTCTTCTCCTTCTTCTTCTTCTTCTTCTCCTCTCCTCCTTCTGTCAGGTTTAAGTGACTTGCCCAGGAGTCACACACCTAGGAAATGTCTGAGGCTGGATTTGAACTCAGGTCCTCCTGACTCCAGGGCCAGTGCTCGTCACCTAGTTGCCCCACTTTCATTTACTTTTAAACTCTCTGCAATCTGCTTTCTAAGCTCATGATTTACTAGAAACTGCTCTCTCCAAAGTTATCAGTCATCTCTTAATTGCCAAATCTAACAGCCTTTCCTCAATCCTTATCATTCTTGACCTTTCTGCAGCATTTGACACTGTCGATCACCCTCTCCTGGATGTTTTTCCTAGATCTTCTTTCTAGGTTTCTCAACTTTGCTTTCTCCTCCTACATGCCAGATCATTCTTTCTTAGTTGCCTTTTTTGGTTCATCTAGCTCACAACCACTAATTATAAGTGTCCCCCAGTAGTCTATCCTAAGTCCTTTCCTCTTCTATCCCCTATATTCACTCTCAGTGATCTCATCAGCTCTCATGAGTTCAATGATTTCTATTCCAGTGATTCCCAGTCCTGCATATCGACCCCCTAGTCTATCCTCTGCCTTTCAGTCTTGCACCTCTGTCTGCCCATTGGACAGCTCAAACTGGGATGCCCCATAGACATCTTAATCTACATATGTCCAAAACAAAACTCATTGTTCCTTCCTGCTCCTGCCAAACCCTCCCCTCTTTCCAACTTTTCTTTACTGTCAAGGTCACCACCATTTTCCCAGTCAGCCAGGTTTATAACCTCAGTGGCCATCTACATTCACTCACATATCCAATCTCTTGCCAAGCCTTACTGTTTTTACTTTCCCAACATGTCTGGTGCATATATCCCCTTCTGTCCTCTCACACTCTGATGCAGACCATTATCATCTCATGCCTGGACTATTGAAATAATCTTCTGCTTGGATGCCTTGTCTCAAGTTTCTCCCCTCTCCAATCCATCCTTTGCTCAGCTGCCAAAGGGGTTTTCCTAAAGTACAGGCCCGACTTTGTCACCCCATTGATTCCCTATGCTTCAGTGGCTCCTTATTACATCCATGGTCAAATAGAAAACACCTTGTCACTTAAAGGTCTTCACAACCTGGTCCCTTCCTCCTTCTCCAGTCTCCTCTCCCTTAACTCCTCTCCATGCACTCAACAATCCAGTTACATTGGCATACTTGTTCCTTGCACAGGGCAATTTATCTCACATCTCTGTTGCTTTTTTTCTCACTGCCCCCATGCTTGAAATTCTCTCCAACTTCATGTTTGCATCAGTTTCCCTAGCTTCCTTCAAGGCTCAGCTCAAATCTTACCTTCTGCAAAGGGCTTTTACCATTCTCCCATTGCTAGTGTCTTCTCCCTGAGATCTCTTTCCATTTACTTTGTGTGTGTGTGTGTGTGTGTGTGTGTGTGTGTGCATTGTATATGCATAGTTTTTTGCACATTGTCTCCCCCATTAGAGTGCTAGCCACTTAAAGGCAGAGGCAATGTTTTTGTCTTTGTATACCTAGTACTCAGCACAGTGCCTGGCAAATAGTAGGTTCTTAAAATGTTTGATTGACTGACATCTACTTTTTCCATTCATTTTTTTCCATTATAAAAATGCTGCTATAAATATTTTTATGTATGTGGACCCTTTCTTTTTGTCAAAGCAATGGTATGATGACTGAATGTCCTACCCTGCTCCAGCCAGGAATCGTGCCCTGCCGCAAAATTTTGTTGCCCAAGGAAAACACAAGATAATAGACTGGTGAGGAGCTATGCTATATTAAGTAGATGAAGGATTAAGTAATCTGCCATGCTACAGATAGCACTAGAGAATGGTTGGGAACCCTTCAAAGACGACATATGGTAACCACCTGATGCCTAGATAACCAGAGCAATAGAAAGTCAAGGAAGTGGGTTCCAAGAAGGGTACTCTTTCCTGTTGTGGGCAGAGGCTAATAATGGCCTCTAGGGAGATCTATTTATATAGTGGTTTAGATGGTGAGAAAACTATAATTTAGCACCCTTTTAAACCTGCCAAGATTGCCTGAACTGAGGAGGATCTTTAATCAGGAGAGGGCAAGATGGAAGGATTTTCCCTTCTTGCCTAAAATTATACTGATGTGCAGCTAAGTAGTGCAGTAGATAGAGTGCTGGGTCTGGAGTCAGGAAGACCTGAGTTCAAATCCAGCCTCAGACACCAGCTGTGTGACCCTAAGTCATTTAAACTTGTTTGCCTCAGTTTCTTCATCTGTAAAATGATCTGGAGAAGAAAATGGCAAACTTCCAGTATCTTTGCCAAGAATACCCTAAATGGGGTCATGAAGAGTCAGATACAACTGAAATGACTGAACATACATATATCAATGGGAGTCTCAAAAGAAAGGAGGACACCCATAGAACCTGATTTACTAGGGGCTAGAAACTATAATAGTCAGCCTGGGCTCAAGATTGGGACTGTAAACCAGTGGGGCCTAAGGATATTGAGATGACAGAATGGAGAGTGGGATCACCACAGAAGTGTCAGGACTTGGGTCAGTGACAGGCTGAAACCTTGAGCTATGCCTATAATGGGAGAAGAGGTTACAAAAACAGCCAGAAGACGTCTATTGCTGGAGTGTACATGTAGACTTTGTATGTGTGGAGCTGCACAGCCATGTACAAGTTCCTCAAGCCTGTTTGAGTTCACCATCATTGAACCACTGCTCACAGGTAAACCTCTCCAACCAGACAGAATTTATTATATGATGTCGTAGCAATACAAAAACATTTTTACTTAACATCGAATGCTCTATATGTAACAAGAAATAAGCATCAAGCAAACAACATGGCACCTGCTCTTTTCCTGAACCCTGATCTTCCAGGCTTCCAGGGATTGTTAGGTTGTGAGTCCTTTTTGCTTCCATTCCTGTGTCAGTTTTCCATCCTGGCACTGAAAAGCCATGAAAGGAAAAACAGGTTTTATAAATTCACTCTCTCCACATTCCCTAGTTCCTCTGCCTACAGGCATGGCAGGCAGGATCTTAGTGTAATGCTCCCAACAGTAGCATTGGATACACCACATGTCTCAGCATAGGAACCTGACTGACCATGGAATCTGTAGGTTGTGCCCTCACTGTGATCAACGAGGTCTAAACGTGGTCATGGCAATCCCATTTCTGGAGAGGGCTTGGGAACAAGAGGCTCAGGATGTTGAATCAGATCTTCGTCTCCTTTCATCTCTCTTCACCACTTCCCTCCATCTTTCCCTACCTCACCATTCAAACCAATTGGACTTAACAATGACATCAGAGGGTGATGTCTTGACTTGCAATTGTTTCTGTTCTGGCCAGAAATTCTGAGGGTCTTCCTGCCCACATTGATTCTTTTGTGAAGGCAAACTAGGCCATCTTTTGTCTCAATTCTTACCTTTAACTACTGAGTGGGTACAGCCTCAGACAAACTGAGACCTGGGAAAGACCTTAGCTTAAAAAGGCCAGGGTCTCCAACTGCATCTGGGGCTATTGCCATTTGTCCTGACCTATGTCTTTACACATTGATTCTGATGACTCCGGAGTTGTTGAAAAACTGATGACCTTGCACAATGTTGACTCACTTAAATCCAATTCACTTGCAAGTGAAGACGTCACCCTCCTGATGTCCTTGGTCCTCTTTGAGAATGAAGGACGAGCAATAACAACTCAAATGAACCTACTTCACTTCTTCTAGGAATTTTTTAATACATTTATTTGTTTAGGGCAATTGTGGTTAAGTGACTTGCCCAGGGTCACACAGCTAGTAAGTGTCAAGTGTTTGGTCTGAGGCTGGATTTGAACTCAGCTCCTCCTGACTTCAGGGCCAGTGCTCTATCCACTGCACCACCTAACTGCCCCTTCACTTTTCTATCAAGACTTCGGTCTACCTCCTTACTGGGATGTTGAAATTACTCATCCCCCAGTCATCTATGAGATACCAAAGAGTCCCTTTATACACCAAGCCCTAACATATTCTGTACTGCATATAACTTTTGCTCTTCAACCCTAATATGTGATGCTATATTTTACAAATTGCATATAGTATTTACAACTCTAAATTGGATATAATATTCTGCAGTTAACCTATGGATCTGGGGTAGCTGCCTGTGATTATGCTATACACACATTAATAACTAGTTTATGATGTCTGCTGATAGATGTTATTGCGCACTGGGGGAGACTTTTTAGGTTTCTTAGGCAACTAAGGAAATTACTTTAATAAGTCAAATCTTAGTTCCTGGAAGCTTCCGAGATGGTTTCTTTGCTTTTTAAGGAAGCTTAGGGCACAAGTGGTGAATTTCCAGTCATGTAATGGGGTCCACTGTCATGGTTCCTGACCATATTGAGAACAGATAGTACTCCTACCACAGAAGCCCAAAGACATCAGAACTTCTGACTAATGTCTAAATGGAAGAATTGTGACAGAAGATGTGGGAACAATAGAAGAGAATCAGAGAGAGGAAGTGTTCATGGCAAGACCCAGCAGATGATGGTGGGAGTGGGGAGGGAAGGAGAAGGAATAAACCATCTATGTATTTGACTTTTTAGCAGTCAAGAGTAAACTGAGGGACAGGCACAGTGATACACTGTTGGTGAAGCTGTGAATTGATGCAACCATTCTGGAAAGCAGTTTGGAATTTTGCTAAGAAAATGACTATCCTTTGGTCCAGAAATGATACTACTAGGACTATACCTACAATGAAGCCAATAAGAGAAAGAAAGGTTCCATGTGCACACAAATATTCACAGTAGCAGAAACAAAGTAGATAGCTATTGATTGGGAAATGATTAAAGAAATGGTGGTACATGAATGGAATGGAAAATTACTGCTCCATAAGAAATGATGAATATGAAGAAATCAGAGAATGTGGGAAGATGTAAAGATCAATACGGAGTGAAGTAAACAGAACCTGGAAACAACGTAAAAGATGACTACAACAACATAAAGAGAAAGAACAAAAGCACCAACAAAAACCAGATGTTGGGTAATTATGATGAACAAGAGAAATGAGAAAATGTATCTCCTTTTTTTCTTTGGAGAGGTGGAGAGCTATAGGTGTGGAACATCACGTATGCCGTCAGATTTGGTCAACATCATCGTTAATTTTGCTAATACTCCCTCCCCCTCCAACTTTTTTTATCCTATTGCGAGGGATGGTTTGTTGGATAAGGTGTGTGTGTGTGTGTGTGAGAAAAGAGATACTTTATGGAATGTAATTGATGCAAAAATAAGAGATATCAATAATAATTTAAAATTAAAAGCAGATTAAACTGAGGGAGCTAAGATAAACTGAGATGACCTCCTGCTATACCTAGGAATGGAATTTTGGCTGAAGTAAAAAGGAAGAGATACTGCATGGATGAGTCAGTAATGGCATCCCAGCGGATCTAGTAGCATCCTGACAACCCTAGAGCCAGCGAAGCAAATGACAGCTTCCAAGAGGAATTTTCATACTAGTTACAAAGACAAAGTTGGGAGGAGAGAGGAAACTATTCCTTCCTCACTTCATATGTGCCACACATCTCCATGGCAATTTCCCACCAGTGTCTATGGGGCATTGCATCTATTTTTTTGCATGGGTGTGAGGGAGGGGGCTGCGAATCATTCTGTTGCCCATTTATTTTTCCTGTTAATTATTTTGTTATTCTGTATCAATTTAGTACTTTTCTCTTTGATTTAGGGTTCCTGTGTAGTTTGTGAATAAGGAATATACACTGAAATAAGGGCTTGAGTTGTATTTGCATAATTAGTATTGTCCAACACCTCCCTGGCATGCTTAACCTGGAGTTATTTAGGGACCCTAGAACAGGAGGAGGAAGGTTGTAAAAGAAAGGGATTGAGGAGGCGTAGGGTTGATGCCTTTGTGTAATTCTGCCTCACTTAAATTCAATTCATGCTCAAACCAAGATATCATCTGTGATGTCACTGGTCCTCTTCAAAAATGAAAGATGAACAACAATCAGGAGAAAACGCAGGGTAAAAGACTTGGGATTTGTAGGCGTGTTTGCTAGCAATAGAAGAGAGGAAGTAATGGTTGGGGGTCCCACTCTCCAGTGTCCTTTAATAATAATAATAGCTAAATGTATATACTACATTAAGGTTTGTAAAGTGCTTCACATAAATTATTTTATTTGATCCTTGAAACAACTCTCTGAGGTAAGTGTTATTACTATCTCTGTTCTGCAGATGAGGAAACTTTTCCAGGGTCACATAACTACTAAGTGTCTGAGGCAGGATTTGAATTAAGTTCTTTCGAATTTCAAGGCTAGCACTACCTAGCTGGTCCTCTTCCCTGGCTCTATACACAAAATAATAGTAATAACAATAATGGCTAGTTTACATAGTACTTTATGGTTTCCAAAGAGCTGTACCAACGTTATCTCATTTGATAATGGGTACAAGTAGCAGCAGCATGCGCCATGCAGATACTAGGGAGCCAACAGTAGGGGCATCAGATAGTTCAGGCTGGGTTTCTGGCTCAGTAAATATTTAGTGGCCAGATGTTCAAAGGCTGAACTTTATCCCTACATGGCACAACTTTGTAGCCTTATCAGAAGATGGCTGGTTAGGAATCATACACAGGATATAGCCCCCATGTGAAGTCCATACATAGCTCTCCAATGAGTCGAGGCCATGGGGGTCCATATGACACTAGGTATGGTGGTAAAGTCCTAGGTCTGTTGTTTGAGGTCCCAAGACCCTGTTATAATTCTGACAACTATGGAAAGCGGTAAAATTCTTATCTGTCTGTGAATTAGAGGAAACTGTGAGACTAATAAAAATAGACCAAGTTGATTATATAAAAATGAAAGGCTCTTATATACTTAAAAGGAAGATATCCAGAAGAAGAAGGAAAGATCCAGATTAGGAAGAAAAAACTTTCACATTAAACATTCTGATAAAAGTTTCACATCTAAAATTTATAAGGCATTGATTCAAGTGAGAGCCATTTGCCAAAAGATAAGTGGGCAAAAGCTATGAATAAGCAGTTTTCAGAAGAAAGACAAACTATCTGCAGCCACTGAAAAAATATTCAAGATCACTAATAACCAGAGAAATGAAATAAATGAAAACAGAAACCGACGACAACAACTCTGAAATATAACTTGGCATCCGTAAAAGTGGTAAAGACAGTAAAAGACTGTGAAATTCAGTACTGGTATGCCTGTGGTAAAATAGGTACACAAGTAAAATGCTGTTGGTATTGTGAATTGGTTCAGTATTTCTGGAAAGCAATATGGAGCTATACAGTGAGTGTAGCATGGTTCATGGGGGAGAGGGGAAGGTTCTGTTCAATGTGATGAGTTTCCCTAATCAATTAATGAGATTTACAGGGCATCTCCCATGGAGGTTGATGTGTGTCTTAGCCCCTTACGGAGATATACATCTGTTTACGAAAGGACCACTGAAGAAATAAATAAATATTAAGTGGATAAAGACTTGGCGGGCCAAAGAACAAAACAGAAATAATAGATAATTTAATTAAAGATAACAATGAGGCAACCAGAATTTTGGGGATGTAGTCAAACCAGTACTTAGTGGAAAAGTTATATTTCAAAACAATTTCATTGACAAAAGAGAGAAAGAATAGATAAATAGAACATATATTTAAAAAACCCCACAAATCTAGAAAAACAACAAAATTTTAAAACCGCAATTAAACTCCAAATAGAAATTTTGAAAATCAGAGAAGAAATTAACAAAATTGAAAGCAGAGAACACATTGATTAGAAACTATTGGACATTGCCATTCTTCCATATTAACTGTTGTCAACACTTGTTCAGACAGTGCAAGTTGAATAGGAAATATTTGTTCAGCATTCCCACAAAGGATCTTTACCTTCTGGAACTGTATGATGAGTATAATAGTTTATTTGAGTATCTTATGTTTAAGTGTTATATTCTGGTTAGTTAAGG